AAATGGAAGTAGCAGCAAGACAACCCTGAATTGTTTTTCCCTAAAAAAGATTGAATTAAAAAGATGAGAAAAGTTGCCTCGCGCACAGACCTTTAATTCGTCGGAGTTCCTTACAAAGTGTAATGAAGTCTCCCCATTTCATATGGCATCGTCTGATAAACCTTAGAATCTGTTCAGTTGTGAACATTGACATGCCTTCAAGATACTCCCCATTGACACCATTTTCTTTAAAAATCTGGCGATAGCTTCCAAGACTTATTTCTTCCAACCACAAACCAACATCCTGGAAAAAAACTAAAAAAACATTATAATCGGCATGCAGAAGGCATATTATAAATCAAATTTCATTAAACTCACAGTTAAAATTTTATCCAGAGAAATGTGATATGATGTATAGTCCAAATGGTAACACATAAACACTCCAACTTGGACGGACAGGGTGCAGTTTGGAAAGATATGTTCACAAATTTTTGCACTCCAAGAAGCTAATAAACTATGTGACATCCAGAAGCATGCTGAGAACGAAGAACATAGAAACAGTATGACATTGCCAATTTAATTTCTTTAGTTCCATCAAACATAATTTCTTATACTCAAAATCTCTGAGAAATAAATTTAGGAGAGTTCAAGCTAGCTGTTAAGTTCAAAACTAGAAAGAGAAAAGAAAGGAAGAGGAAGGAGCTATAACAAGGAAAAGTCCAAAATTCCAGATGGGAAGGAAAATATCACTGGCTGACGATAAATTCAATTATTTCATTTCACTATCTACAGCTACTTTGAAAAGTTTTCAGTTGCTAACAAAACATTAATTCCGTAATCTTAACAAACAGAGTTGGAAAAAAAAAAAAAAAAAACACAATAATCAAATCCCATTGATCCAGCAATCAAAAAAATTAAAAATTAAAAATAAAGAAAAAAGAAGGTATCACTGAATCACGATCAAATACTTGAATAAGCAATCAATGAGGAAGGTTACAGTAGCCATCAATTTCAAACTCCCCATACCAACACTCTTAACGCATAACCGTTCAGATTTTCAAGTAGAATCCCAAACAACAAAGAAATTGCAGTTTAAGATCTTGGCACAAAAGATCCAAAATCAACGACGATGTATGAGATGCGAGAGGATTAGGAGATACCTCAACAGTCCAAATGAAGAAATCAAGAGGTTCCGGTCGCTGATCCTTGTTCATCTCCCTATCAGGTCCTCCCGAGTTTCAGATAACCTAAATTCACGAAGTCAAGAACAAAAAATCTCATCATGATTTCAAAGACAAAATTCAGTTCACAGAAAACTAAAAAGAAAACGAAGCCATATAAAGTAGAAATTGAGGAAGCTAACCAGACAGAAGCTGAATTTCTCCTTCTTCTTCTTGTTCTTGTTCCTGAAATGAAAAATCTAGGTCACGAAAAGTTCTCTACATTTGATTCATAACAGAAGTGGCGCACGAGAGATGGAAAAGTGAAATCAATGAAAGAGAGCGTTGAGAGGCTTTCGATCATTTGATGATTTCCTCTTTCTCTCTTCAATTCTCTCTCTCTCTCTTTCAGTTCCATTCCTCTCTTCTCCTCGCAGTTTGTATTGTATGCTTTGCCTTACTGTCTCTAACTCCACTCCACACGCGCTTTACACTTCTCGTGTAGTACACGCGTATTCTTTGAATTACCTCACTCCCGTTGACTATAATTACTATTATTTTTTCTTAATTATTTCATTCATAATTGGGTTTTTTAATTCATCTTTTTAATAAATTATTATTATCATTTTCCATATTTTTTCGTTTTCTATATGTCACGTCAAGTTTAGATAAAAGAAAAGGAACAAAATCATGCTCAATAATTTAGACGGTTTCACTTTATTTTTCCTTTTTCAAATTTCTTTAAACATATAATTTATAATTTCTTAATTTAAAACTAAATTAAATCATATTGTCGCTCTACCTTTAAATCTTGATGGAGCAAAGTTCGATTTATAGATGGCTATTCGACAGAGTAGTTCTTCTCGAGTTGCCACTTTCTCACCGAAGAACCCATTCGGTCCTTTTTTTCAAGAGTCTATCTTTAGGTAATTCATTATGCTACTTTATATACCAACCTCTAAAACGTCCCCACCATTAGGATTTGGGTTCTGCTTGCCCTGCTATAAGTGGTTCTCGATTTTGTCTGACCGTTCGTCTCCTCACTCACCACTACTCGGCAACACAACCTAGTAGAATTCATACAAACATGACTAAGCTTACACAAATAGATGTTATATGTTTTAGTCTGTTATGTATCACCATTAGTGTCCATGATTTTAAAACGCATCTACTATGAAAAAAGAGTCTAATACAATTTGTAACAATTGCTAACATATCTTGTCTACCTTAGCCTATTATGTATCGTTGTTAGTCTTATGGTTTTAAAACGTATCTACTATGGAGAGTGTCTAGCCATACCTCAATCATTGTCTCACCACTAACAAGTAGTTAAATATCATCGTCAGTTTCGTAATCTTAAAAACACGTAGGTTAGGAAGAGGTTCATTATCATATTAGATCCGGTTACGAGACTTTGAAATATTTTATATCTCAAACGAATAATTATTTTTTCTGCTCAATTAATTGATAAAGAATATTCGAATTTCAATAATACGTGGAAATGATTTAAAATGGAAGGAAAAGAAATGATTAATCATAATAAAGAAATGGTTGTGTTTTTTTTATGTTATTTATTAATTATTAATGATGACATTGTGGATCAAAAGTAGAAATATTGATTGATTACGTAAGGAGATCATATTTAAAGATGGAAATAAATCATATGTGGATGCGTGTCAGTGATAGAGGTGGCAGTGGGGTCCACGGCACGTGGCAAATATATTATTATTATTATTATTTATCCCATGAAAGCAGAATAGAAGAATATGAACCGTCGGATAAGGATGCCGGGGATGATATGGAAGATCTTGACGGTAGAGGGAAGGTCGGCGGCGAGTGATTGACCGTACCGTCGCCGGACACCGACTAATAAGCACCATGGAGGTGCATGTGCGGCACGTGTCCACGACCGTCGCATGCGTTTAAAAAGTATAATAATAATGAAAATCATTATTTAAAATTGGACCCCTGATTTAAGGCTTATTTAAAATTGTGCCCTCTTTATTTCCGGAAATTTTATTTTTCGAGATTGAACATCTGAGCCTTCTATTTTCAGTTTTATCACGTGACTTTGTCGTTCCCCATCCACAACAGCTATGAAAATAATAAAGAATTTTAAATAAAAGTTTTTAATTTTTAAATTATTATTATTTTCTATCTATAACATTTAATATTATGCAAATTTGATAAAGTAAATTGATTTCACTGTCACGGACATTAAAATTAAATTTTTATATATAGTAAAATATTAACTCCACCTCAAACCAAAATTCATCTCCATTTTATATATTTTTTTAATTATTTATTTATAGTTTTTTAAAAGTAAAAACTATTTATTTAATAAGAATGTGCATCTTATATTATTTAAAATTTTTCCAATATATTTTTTATTTTATAAAAAATAAATGGTATATAAATCAAATTTTTTAAAAAATGTTTTTTTTTTTTAAAGTTATTCAAAGGTCAATCATGTTTGTATGAAATGAACATGATTATAATTAAATACTCGATAAGTAATTAAATTGTTAATTAAATATAATGACATTAATTAATTAAACATGGTTAAAAATACGTCGACCAAAATTATCCGTAAACCCTACTAAAGCCCTTCCCACCTTCCCCTCTGTGAGTTATTCTGTGATTTCAATGCTTTCCTTTACTTCATTCGAGCTTCTACAATATGCACAAGCTTTCCAGACGCTCTGGCTCTGCTATTCTTGGCACTGGTGGAGCTCGCTACCACCGTAATGCTGCCTTCGCTTTAGCTCCGGCCACCCATGCCTCAGTCCTTCCCAATACGGTCTGTGTTCTTTGTCCAAAACGTGATAACTTCTGTCTGTGTCGTTTTGATGCTACGGGCTTGATTTTCTTATATCTTTGATAATGGAGTATTTCTGTGTGGGAGTGTTCTGAAATGGGTATAATTAATTGGAATGTTGATAGTTTGTATTACCTGAGTTGAATTTTTTGTGCCTTGGTTGTTCTTTTTTTCTCTCTTTGGTTTAATGATATATTTTGAATCGTCGATGTTGATGAATAGCCTAGTATCTACGATCAACCTTTTGGCGTTTAGATAGAAGTAAAGTATTCCGTAAATGGGTAAGTTTTATTGGGTACTATTTCACTTAATTCAGTATTGTTTTCGTGCTTGGATGGTCTCTCCGCACCCATTCGAGATTAAGATATTTCGTTGGATTGTTCATACTTGACGGTCATGTCGAGGATTGTTAGGAGATGGTCCCGATCATGAGTTTATAAGTAAGGAATACATCTCTATTGGTATGAGGTCTTTTGAGAAAATTAAAAGCAAATCCATGAGAGCCAATGCTCAAAGTGGACAACATCATACCATTGTGGAGGTTCATGATTCCTAACCATCAAAATCCGTTTTATGCTCCTTGGTCGCAGATTGGCATGTTTTAGACTTTGAAGGTCTCCTTGTTGCATTATTATGGTGGTTTATGTTGAAAGTTTAGCTTTGTGCTTCTCTGTTTTGGTGTTGAACTACTCTGCTGGATTGTTGATTTTCTGAAATATGGAATGGATAATCACATTTGCTCGACAATTTTCAGGTGGGTGAGAGCGATGGTAAAGTCAGACGGTACTCATTGCTAGCGTCTGGACATTTGGATACCGCAAAACCTTCCTCTCAATTGAATTTGAAACATACTTTTTCCTTGACCCACCGATTTGAATCAACTGCCACCGCATCTGATGCATCGGCTACTCCTCCAGTTGAGAAGTACGAGTATCAAGCAGAGGCATGTTCCTTTAAATAAGAAACTATATACTAATTTGGAATTAAAATCTTAATGTTTAAATTCACCGATCACCTTTTATATTCGTGTTTCTTTTTCGTGCCAAGTGAGTCGTCTCATGGACCTCATTGTTAACAGCTTGTACAGCTACAAAGAGGTTATTTATTATCAATGTTTGGCTCGTTTCTTTTTCTACAAGCTTACCTTTTGATACCTAAATTGAATATTGGTTTCTGCCTCTTCAACCTTCACAGCAATGCAAGTGATGCTTTGGATAAACTGCGCTTTCTGAGTGTGACAGACCCTGGACTTTTGAAGGAAGCAATTGATTTTCACATATGTATCCATAGTGATAAAGATAATGGGATTATAAGCATAACGTAAGGGTTCTGCTATTTGCATCCCCCCTCCTCCTCCATACCGACAATGCTGCAACATTTGCAGCCTGTTTTCTATCTCTATGCAGTGATACTGGCATAGGTATGACTAGGCAAGAACTTGTTGACTGCCTTGCTACTATTGCCCAGAGTAGTCTGTCTGTCTTCTTCCATCCTTACTTCTCCAACACTCTATAGAGAAACTATGGGATGACAGCTTACACAACAGAATCTATTAATTGTAATCTAATTAATGATTTTTCTTTACAGAAGAAGAAGAAGAAGAAAACAGAGACTGTTGTGGAGAAGTACTGGGACTGGGAGCTCACTAATGAGACCCAACCAATATGGGTGAGCTCACAACTCCTTTACTTTCCTGTTTTGTTGTTAAATCGCTGTTACTTCTAAGCAACTAAAGGGTGCTATTCCTATATGTATTTGTAGCTTCGAAAAGGAAGTCTCCACGGAGGAGTACAATGTATTCTACAGAAAAATTTTCAATGAGTACTTGGATCCATTAGCATCATCTCATTTTACAACGGAGGTATGCCTGCTTTTCCTCCTCCAGCGTCCACTTTCATCTGATCGTGCAAATCTGAGACCTCTTTTGCCTGCTTGAAATCCCTGGGAGAATGAGGATTACCATTCTGTCAACTAATTCTTCTACTCAAAATGAACCTACAAGTTTGTTTCCTAGATGATGAAAAGATCAAATAATCGTTAGCTAATTTATCAAAATGATAAGAATTCATCCAAATATCTTGGATTTATTGGCTAATTTACCTAATTGATAAGACTCCTACTTTCAATGAATGCTCTCTACCTTCGTATTTCATTTTCGTGGAGTTAATATTTGACTGAATTTTCAGGGTGAAGTAGAATTCAGGTCAATACTTCATGTTCCCTCTGTTTCTCCCACGGGGAAGGATGACCTCATCAATCCCAAGACTAAAAATATTAGGCTTTACGTGAAAAGGGTGTTTATTTCAGATGATTTTGATGGAGAATTGGTAAAACTTACCTAAATGAAACATCCTTTCTGTACTTTAAATGTTAGTTTTACCGGTGACAATGCTGATGATTTTTAAGTCATTCGGGTCGAGGTCATTAGTTTCCAGAATTATAGGATGACCCTCTGCCTTCATTATTGGTCTACTTTGTGAAATTACAACAAAGGAAACAGTAATTGGTATGTGTTTTAGGTGATAAGAATGAAGAGAAAGAGAAAGAAATAAAACAAGAGTTGGGCCAAACTTGTGATTGGATTAAAGTTGCCAATGTTCAGATGTCAAGTCGCCTAAGTTCTTCACCCTGTGTTCTTGTCGCTGGAAAGTTTGGTTGGTCTGCCAACATGGAGAGGTAAGTTACTGTCTCTCTCAATCGATCCAGATGATGTATACTCTATTTCAAGTGTTGGGTATCACTTTTTTTTTCCTTTTCAAGGTTGATGAAGGCACAAACTGTTGGTGATGCCTCTAGTTTGGACTTCATGAGAAGTAGAAGCGTGTTTGAAGCGAACCCTGAGCATCAAATCATTAAAAACCTGGATGTATGTAAAGAGCAGAAGTACATTTTATACTTTCTTCTGCCGATGCTTGTAAATTGATGTATATACAAATTTTCACAGGCTGCATACAATACAATACAATACAAGGGAGGTTTTTTGTGTAAACCTCTCCGTAGCAGATGTGTAAATTGATGCATATGAAGTATTTGTTTATAAGGGTGTGGAAACCTCTCCGTAACAAATGTGTTTTAAAATTGTGAGGCTGATGACGATACTTAACGTGCTAAAGTGGAGAATATTTGCATGTGGTGGGCTTGAGCTGTTACAAATGGTATTAGAGTCAGACATTAAGTGATGTACTAAGAGGACGTTGGCCTCCAAAGGAAGTGGATTGTGAGATCCCACATCGGTTGGAGAGGGAAACGAAATATTGCTAAGGGTATATTGCTAATAAGGGTGTGAAAAATTCTCTCTGCCATATGCGATTTAAAAGTGAATGATGTAAAAATAAAATGATTAAAAAAGAGGAGCGAATATGAACATAATTCTGGAGAGAATATATTTTATGTCAAATATATAAATATATATTTATGTGAAGGAATTTAACGCCGTGAAATGAGCGACGAGGCTTCACGTTTGTGCAATTGATTATTCATGTTGAAGGAGTCAAACCCAAACCATGGGTGTTGACTTTGGGTTCCATTGGTGAAGAGCGTGGACTATGGTTCCTTTGGCGTGGGGTACAGAAATGAAATGAGAATTAATTCATTTGGAATCGCCAGTTTTTTTTTTTTTTTTTTTTTTTTTTTTTTTTTTTTTTTTTTTTTTTTTTTTTTTTTTTTTTTTTTCTCTTTTGTCGATCGGATCATCGGCCGTCTTCGCCTTCTTTGCTTTCGTCTTCAATGGTCACCACCACCTGAACTCTCTCATCTTCATTTCTTCTTCCTCCTCTTCTTTTCTGGCCTGTTGGAGACGGCGCGGTCGAAATCACTACTCAACCTCTGAGCTCCCGAGTGCTTCTGCTCCTACTGGTTGTTACCCCAGGTAGGTAGTTTCTTTAGAGCGATATTTCAGAATTCTAGGTGTTTTATGAGTATCTAATTACCGGCCGGACGAAAGATTTGTCTGTGTATGCCCTTTTATTTTTTGTTTTCTGTCCCTTTTTGCCCTGTTAACTTTTCTTGCTCCCTTTCTTTTTAACCTCGATGCAATTAAATCCATTGCGTAGCTTAGATTTGTCCGCTGTCGCTTGGTGGCATATGATCTGTTGACGTTTTGATTTGCAAACAGGATTTGAGTGATGCTAGAGGATACTTAGCCTTCAATTAGGATTTACCACATGTATCATATTTTACTTTTGATTCTCGACTAATATCTTGTGTTCTTTCCATTTTCTTGTAATATATTTGATCTTATTTCATTCTGTGAATGATTATGAATAGAAAACTTTCACCGTCCTTTACCTGTGGTGGTTTTAGCAAATATTAATATGATAATAGAGTCATGTCCTTAACTTAGTCATGTCAATGTCAACTGAATCCTTGCGTATTGAACAAAAAAGTTATGAGCCTCGAAGATGTAGTAAAAGTGACTTAAGTGTCGAACAAAGGGGGTACTTTGTTCGAGGGCTCCAGAGAAGGAGTTGAGCATCAATTAAGGGGAGATTATTCGAGAGTTCCAGAGAAGGAGGACTTAGAGGAGGCTCTATGGTGTACTTTGTTCAAGGGGAGGATTGTTGAGGATTATTGAGAGGAGTAGTCTCACATTGGCTAATTAAGAGGAAGATCATGAGTTTAAGTAAGGAACACCATCTCAAATGGTATTAGGCATTTTGGGGAAACCAAAAGCAAAATCATGAGAGCTTATGCTCAAAGGGAACAATATCATATCATTGGATTTTAATTTTGAAAACAGTGTTCATGTTTCCATTGGAAATTGCTTTGTGATCGAAGCTGAATAATTCCGAACAAGGTCTTTTTGTTTCTTTGTGATATAAAAGCAGAAGGGCATGCTTTTGTTTGTTTGTTCGTTCGTTCAAGGTGTATTTTGAGCTTCCATCCCTTGTTGAAGTCACTTAATTGCATAATATCTGGATTTGATATTTATCCCGGAAACTTACTGGCCTATGAATAAGAAGTCCATCTTTCTTTTTTCTGAACAACTGTTGCGAACCAAATCGTTTCTCTTAAGGAATTGTGCCTGTCTCTAACTTTCATGCTTGACTTCTTCCCTCGCCTCCAGTTTTCATACATTATGCACTCTTTTGGTTATTAGCTAGAAGTAGACAGATATTTCTTTTTGTCTGATTACAATTCATTCATGCGCTCAATCTTTGGTTCTTACACTCAGCAAAATCTTGCAGAACAAATTATGCTTCCGCGTCAGCAATCACAGTCAGGCACACTGCAAACCTCGTTTTCCCTGGTGCCATCAGATGCACACTTACCTCAAGAGGAACCAAGATCAAATTCTGGTCAAGTTCGGGAGTCCCCTACAGAAAGTGCCAGTTCTCGGGAAACTTGGCCTAATGTTGAAGCAATGTTGGCAAAGAAGATGGAAAGTGGGAAGACAGATAATGATAATGCTGAACATTCAGTTGTTCGCCGTCTTTCTAGTGCTGATAAGATATCCCTACGGGATATTGCAAGGGAGAGAGTCGATTTAATCTCCGAAAAGATGCATCATTTGTCAGATGAGTTTCTTGAAGAGTTGAAATCTGGGCTTCGAGTTATCCTTGATGGTAATGGTGGTTCACAGCAGAGAGAGGAGATTTTCATTTTGCAGAAGCTTGTTCAGAATAGAACTGATTTAACAGCTAAGACTTTACTAATAGCCAACCGGGTGCAACTTGAAATCCTTGTTGCAATAAATACTGGAATTCAGGCATTCTTGCACCCGAATGTTACCCTCCCACAGACTACTCTAATTGAGATCTTTGTGTACAAGAGGTGCAGGAATATAGCATGCCAGAATCAGCTGCCAGCTGATGACTGTACATGTGAACTATGCTCCAACAGAAATGGTTTTTGCAATCTTTGCATGTGTGTAATATGTAATAAGTTCGATTTTGAAGTAAATACCTGTCGATGGATTGGCTGTGATCTGTGCTCTCACTGGACTCACACGGATTGCGCCATTCGTGACGGACAAATTTGCATGGGTTCATCTGTTAAGAGTGGACCGGGGGAAACTGAAATGCTTTTCAGGTGCCAAGCCTGCAATAGAACGTCAGAGCTGCTGGGTTGGGTTAAGGATGTTTTCCAGCACTGTGCACCTGCCTGGGACCTGGAGGCTTTGACAAGGGAACTCGACTATGTTAGTAGAATATTTTGTGGAAGTGAGTATAATAGAGGGCTGAGGCTTTTCTGGAAGTGTGAAGATCTCAAAGAAAAAATGAAAACCGGGGTTATGGACTCTTCAATGGCATGCAGAACTATATTGGGGTTTTTCCAAGGTAAAGAACTATTCGTTTATGTATAAACTTATCTCATTTCTTGATCATATATTTGGAAGCTGGTCGAATTCCTTCTTCTGATTCCATGTTGACGCATTGGGTCTTATTTACTACTGGTCTATTATGATTTTCCTCGTATCTTTAACTTATAAGAAACAGAACATCTCTTAAAATTGTTCATGAAAAAGTTAGAAACTGCATCCCAACAACCGTCTGGTTTTTTTATTTGCTTGATGATATATAGTGGTGAAAGGTGTGGTTTAGAGAGTAGGAAAATCAAATCACTTCCGACACTTTTCTATAGACATTGGTTGTGTCCAATTCTCTCTCTGAGGTTCACAAGGTAGGGAAAAAAAGGGTTTTCTGCATAAGGAGCCAACAAATAAATGTATTTACTAATTAAAATAGGCTCTTATAGGCATATATTTTGATTGTGCTATCTTATACTGGTTATGCCTTTTTAGATCAATTATTGTTCAATCATGATTTGAGGAGTCATTGGTAAACTAAACTGTAATAGTGGATGATATCTGATCCTATTCATGTAGAAAAGCTACTCATATTGCTATGAAATTGATGAAAAGAAACTTAATTGCATTATGCTGAGCTCGAGCTACATGTTTTTCCCATATTTTATTTTAATGAAATACCTCTGCTTCTTGTTTCTCTTTATGAAGAACTTGAGTTAGACTCTCCAAGAAGCATTGAAAATGGGGAAGGAGGACGACTGATAGCCCCACAGGAGGCTTGCACCCGCATCGCCGATGTGGTACAAGAGGCCATAATAAAAATGGAAATGGTGGCTGATGAGAAGGAGAGGAGATACAAAAAGGCACGAATGGACGTCGAGGCATTCGAGCATGAGGTTGAGGACAAGACCAGGGAAGCAGCGGAATTAAAGGTGGAGAAACAGAGAAAGAAGCTACAAATTGAAGAGCTAGAGAAGATTGTGAGGCTTAAACTTGCAGAAGCTGACATGTTCCAACTTAAGGCAAATGAGGCAAAACGAGAGGTTGAAAGGCTCCAGTTGATTGCTCTCGCCAAATCTGAAAAATCTGAAGAAGATTATGCTAGTAGTTACCTGAAACAGCGGTTAAAAGAGGCCGAGGCAGAGAAACAGTTCTTGTTAGAGAAGATTAAAATGCAGGAAAGTTTTCGTTCACAGAACAGTGGTGGGGCAGATCAATCCTAAGAACAATCCTTATTCCATACATATTTCCAATGCCGTTCTGTATCATACTGTGTCCTCTTATAGTCATAAAACCAGCTAAATGATGGTCACCCTTTGACTGGAGTTAACTATGTTTCTGTTGTGGGGTATTGTAATCTTGTCTATAGATCATTGTTTAAGCCGTTTGAAAGTATGGAGGGATGCTATATTGGTTGTATTACAGAGTAATTAGCCTTGGTAATCCTGGATTTCATTTCATTTCCTTTATGGTTAGATAAACCTGGTTTGTGGTTTCTGCAGCAGTGAGCACTGAGATTGTGTAGGGTAATGCTGCCAGAAAAGAGAAACAAGGGCAGTGATGGTAGCCAAGTAGGTCCATCCATTTGCTGTTACTCCCATCCTTTTTAGGAGTGCTCTCTAATGGAACCCGCTTCCAATATGCAGCAATCAGGCGAGCAGCAGAGCTGTATGATTTGGAGATGGTATGGTGTGAGTGGACTACATTT